TCTGATGTCAATCCTCCTCTTTTTGCTGAGGAAGATTGGCCCTGGGCTAACATCCATGCCCATCTTCCTCCACTTTATATGGGACGCCACCACAGCATGCCTTGCCAAGCAGTGCATCGGTGCGCGCCTGGGATCCGAACCGGCGAACCCCGGGCCGCCGCAGCGGAGCGCGCGCACTTAACCGCTTGCGCCACCGGGCCGGCTCCCAGGGCATTTCAAGCAAAGTTTTTAAATGGTCCCTTGCACGTTTTCAGAGCTAAGGTGGTGTGGCTGTGACAGCTGAGAGGCCCTGAGGGAGGTGTCTCTGGAAGTAGACTGCCCTGGAGAATCTTCTCCTTCAAGGAGCTGAGGAATGGCATTTCTGTGCCCTCAACAGTGCTGGTGTCCAGTGCCCTGTCCACCTGAAGCAAATGAAGGGCCAGATTTCTTCCAGCTTCCCAAGAAACCACCTCATTTGATCTAGTCCCCTGCTGTCTGCTTCATGCCCGTGTCAGATACATGGGAAATCTGGGTTGAAAACCAGGTTGGTTCTTGTCTTTCCTTCTCCACTTCACTTAGGATTCCATTTACCTCTAGCCATCTCACTGTTCCTGTCACTTCTTTTCCCCCATCCTTGTGGGTTTACGCTTTTTAAGGAAATCCCCTCACTGTCATTTTATGGGGCTTCAGTGGGCTGGGGGTGGGGTGAAATCAGATGCCTGTGCAGTCTTCAGTCTTTAGCCAGAGCTCCAAGAAAACTGAGGGCTTCATTTTTGTTGTTTGGACAGAAAAAAGGGTTTAAAACATGATTGCTATAAAACAGATCTTGAAAACATCCAGTCAGAAGAATATAGCACTGTACAGACACTAATGACATGTTTAAGTGCTTTATTTTTTCAACTCCCTCTGAATCCCCTGGTTGACTTCCGGGAGCCAGAGTATTACATGAGAATTCAGTAATCGACTGGGTGTTGATGAAGCAGTGTAAACAAGGAACCGCACTGCCGCTGCTCGGGGAGGGCAGGAGGAGAGGTCTCTCCTCATCCCCCACCTGGGTTCATCTTGATTCCCAGTTGGAGCTCAGGGCTGACCCTTAGTGCCACCCAGGAGAAAACCCCAGGCTGCACCCTCCCAGCTGAGTCCTGAGTTTGTGTAGCCAGGAAAATCTAGTTTGCAAAATAAACTGCACCCCTGTGTGCCAAGTTCAGACTCAGCTAAACAGTGTTAAGACCCTGACAGTGAAAAGGTGGCCTGAGGGATGGGAGTCTACAGATCCATTAGGACCCTTTCCTGGGGCAGTTCTCAGATGGCCAAGGAATCAGCAGGCCAACAGGAAAGGGCCTTCCTGAAGCTTCCTTACACGTTCATTCTCAGTCTCTAGAGTCCCATCACCTCAGTGCTCTCTCCTGACTCCTGATTCTGCTAATACTATGATCAAAATTATTTCTCAAATTACTCTCATTTGGAAGACCATCAAATTCCATACCCATCAGATTCCTAGTGATGGACATCCAAGGTATTGGCATCATGGGAATCAAACAGTTTAAGAGCAGCACGAGTCCATTGTCCTGGAGCAGTCTCCAGGAGCCCTGGTTACACCATGTCCACATGAGAGCCTCCTCCGGCCGGACAGGAAATGCAGGTGGCCCTGTCGGACACCACACTGTCCAAGGCTCTCATCAGGATGTCTGGCATGTGGTCTGTTAGCATCTTTGGGCCGATAAGTATTTTGCTGAATTCTGATTCATGTGACCACTTTGCTCTATAATGAGCAGTAGAACAGCAGCAAAATCTGAAAAAGAAAAAAGATGAAGTAGCAAAGCATCACTTGGAGTTGAACCTCCACACACACGTTTTCTTCCACTGATGGTGAGTGGACTGAGCCACGTCAGGCCCCGGCCCACGCTGCCCACACTCACCTCCCTGAAGGGCCCTCTTCTTCCAGGTGGATGATCCTGCCGGGAGGGTACAGAGGGGGGTACTTGGTGGGGGACTCCAGGGGGGAGTCGCTGGAGAAGCTGTACGCTGGGGACCGGTGTGTCAGCAGACTCTGCTCCCCAAGAAGAGGCTGTGTCAGGTCTCCCTGGTCACCCCCATCCAGCTCTGTTGGAAAGTTATCAGGATCCCCTCCAAACAGCTCATACCAGCATCCGTGCAGCAAGATCTTGTACTAAGGGCGAGACCCAAGAAGGCAGCGTGCTTGTGACTTGAGGCTTTCACTGCCACCAGAGACCTTGGACCCGTGAGCTAGTGCTAGGTGGCAGCGACCCTCAGAGCTCAGACAAAGGCCTAGCAGTTTTGTTTTTAAGTCATGGATCTTAGGAGTGTGGAGATCAGTCGGCCCAAACTCAGGTGTCTCTCGGGCAGTGAAGCCATCACACTTGCAGCAATATTTAAAAACCAAATCGTGCTGATTTTGAGGAAAAATTACCCTTAATTCTTTTCAAGCAAATTTGCAAACCAGTTTTACTCTTCCCTTAAAGACATTAGATATTAATTTTTAAAAATTTTGAGGAAGGGTAGTTGATAAGGAGAAAGTTTATTTAAAATTAAAAAAACTTGGGGCCGGCCCTGTGGCTTAGCAGTTAAGTGCGCGCGCTCCGCTACTGGCGGCCCGGGTTCGGATCCCGGGCGCGCACCAACGCACCGCTTCTCCGGCCATGCTGAGGCCGTGTCCCACATATAGCAACTAGAAGGATGTGCAGCTATGACAGACAACTATCTACTGGGGCTTTGGGGGAAAAAAAAAGGAGGAGGATTGGCAATAGATATCAGCTCAGGGCCAGTCTTCCTCAGCAAAAAGAGGAGTAGCATGGATGTTAGCTCAGGGCTGATCTTTCTCACAAAAAAAATAAAAAAATAAAATTAAATTAAAAAAACTTGTTCTCTGATTAGCAACAAAAACAAATGTCAGAAAACAAAGAGGTTAAAAAGTGAAAATCATCTCTAATCCCATCTAAATAAAACCAGATTTCAGTGTATTTTTGTTTGGTCAAAACTCCTTGTCACCTCCCCCTGCCTCAGATCGTACCTCTAAGAATCATTTTGAAGTCTGCCTTTTTTATTTTTAACTTTTCAATACCTCATGGATACCTTTTTCTTTTGGTAAATATAAATTTGTCACCATTTTTAAAGACTGCATAATACTCCACGGTTTAGATATACCAGTACACCTTCCAAACTCTGTATTTGGCAGCCTTATCTTTTAAGCTTTGGGACCAAAGGCATCAGAATACCGTTGGTCACAAGACAGGGCTGAGAAGTATGACAGAAAGCAAATCACTGAACTAGACCAGGGATGGTTCTATCACAGTATTTTCTAACTGTGGCATTTCATGGACTTGATTTAGCCATTTGCTTTCTTGGGCATCATCTACAGAACACCAGAAGAAAGTCTGTACACAGGGTGGAAAAAGCTTCCAGCACCAGCGTCAAATGCTCTGGGCTGAAGGGCTCTGAATTTAGAAACATCCTCTCAACGCCACATACAAGCTCGTGAGGAGACCCAAACTCCTACAGATCCTCTTACAGAGCTCCCCAAGTTACCTTGGGCTTATTACAGTGAGCAATCACGCGTAGGATCCTCTTCTTCAAATCTTCCAAGTTGGTCACACTTAACCTGTACAGCAAAAGATCAGACTGAGGCTCAGGACTTGGTCTTTTCAGTTACCCCAGCCCCAGACAAAGCATCTAGCAACTCACCTGGGAATCACATCATCGCCCAGGACAAGTGACACAATGAAGTTCTTAGAGTATTCATAAAGGGATTTGCTGAAATTTCAAAAAAAGAAAAAATTAATGAAGTTTTCTGATTATATTGCCCACAGAGGGCTTCAAAGAGAGAAATGAGTAACTTTGCCAGGTCAGTGCGAGATCAGTTTTCATAGAATTAAACTCTGTTCTCTATCCTCTAAAGGGGAAGAGAAATAAAACAGAGGGACTTCAATTAGAGCAGCTCACTGGCCAGATTCTATTAAAGCCACAACACAGACCAACAGAGACGATCCACAGCTAAAATTTCAAACCAGATCAAGATGGCAGACTGAACATATGCATTTATCCTTTGACCCAGCAACTGCACTTGGAGGAATCTAACAAAGGCGTACTGGCAAAAATGTAAAAATACAGATGCAAAAGACTATTCACTGGAGCTGTTACTATTTGTAACAGCAGAGGTTGGAAACAACCCAAATGTCCATCTATAGAGAACTGCGTGCCACATCCACAGAGTAATGAGTCCTCTGCAGCTGTAAGAGATGAGGGTGAGCTGTGCTGCTGCGGGGTGACACTTGAACAGGATACAGTGTTCAAGGTAAACACAACAACAAGATGCAGTGGAGCATGTAGAGTATGCTGCCTTTATCTCAGCAGAGAGGAAGAATACAAATAGATGTGAAAATAGTGAAAAGATAAGTCATAAACTATTAAAAATGGCTACCTCTGGGGGGAGAGAAAGGACATTATTGAGGGAGTAAGGATGGAAAGGAGATTTCTCTGAATGTACCATCCTTTGCCAAGTTATCTTTGGAACCATGTTATTGTTTTATATATAGTCATGTGTCACTTAACGATGGGAATACATTCTGAGAAATGCGTCGTTAGGCTGTTTCATTGTTGTGAAGACATCATAGAGTGCACTTACACAAACCTACATGGTATAGCCTCTTACACACCTAGGCTATATGGTACTCATCTTATGGGACCACTATCATCTATGTGGTCTGTCATTGACCAAAACGTCGTTTTGTGACAAATGCCTGTATATGAAACAAAACTAAATCAAAATAACAACAAAAGCAATCCGTGTGTGTGTGTGTGTGTGTGTGTGTGTGTGTGTGAGAGGAAGATCAGCCCTGAGCTAACATCCATGCCAATCCTCCTCCTTTTTCTTTTGCTGAGGAAGACCGGCTCTGAGCTAACACCTATTGCCAATCCTCCTCCTTTTTTTTTCCCCAAAGCCCCAGTGCACAGTTCTATGTCATAGTTGCACATCCTTCTAGTTGCTGTATGTGGGATGTGGCCTCAGCACGGCCGGAGAAGCGGTGCGCCGGTGCATGCCCAAGATCCAAACCCGGGCCGCCAGTAGCGGAGCACACACACTTAACTGCTAAGCCATGGGGCCGGCCCCAACAAAAGCAATCCTTAAAATCAAAAGCCAAATGAAACAAATGAACCTAACAGTGTATTAACCAAACAGAAGAATTATTTCAAGTGACTTTAAAACAACAGTAATTTGGCTGTATATCTCTAGTAGGAATAGAAACTAAGAACAAAACAAACTGCAAAGAAATCTCCAAGTGCTTCCAGTACTCATACTGTTACAGGTAATATTGGTACTACCATTCTGAAACTACGATCCCTCAGCCTATATCTATCTATACATATCTATATCTATCTATATCTATCTATACACATCCATTTATACACACACAGAGAGAGGGAAATGCAAATTAAAAATAACGTGAATGTTGACAGAAACAAAAATTTTTAGCATAGGAGAAAAAGATACAAAGAATTTTGGTAAAAACCAAGTATACAATCAAATAATTTAAGTATAAACCCTCATCTTTAATTGGAAGTATCAATAATGAATTAAGGGTATATTTTCTCTTTGGAATAACAAAAGCATTTCCTACCTCCTTCCACTGAAAAGGCCTAGAAATGGTGACCTGCTCTGTGGTAATGAGCACTCCTAGTGCCCACCAATTCGCACTCACAGAAACCAATACTCCTTGGAGAAATGGTTGATTCCAGTTACAGAACAGGGCAAAAAACTTGAGAAGATTTGTAGTACCAGAAAGCAAGAAACTATCTGATGATTGGGCTTGTGTCAGGATGAGAAGCCTAGTTGAAGGGACTCCCACTGGCCGAAGATCGGACAGTGTAAACATCAAAAGAGTAACTGCAATGGACTGAAATACAAAGATGTTTAAGCTCATGAGTTTATAATTATAGTTTAAAATAATTCACATCTGTCTCTGGAGACTGCTAGAATACCAAATCATTATTCTGAACACTGCTAAATAAAGGGAAAGATTCAAGCATTTATGCATTTATTCTGCTTTTCCAGTGTGAACTATTCCTCAGAGGAAACCAAATACTTGAAGAAAAGTTCTTCAGAATTTTCAGTTAATAAATGTAGAAGAAATGACAGAAGTAGAATATCACCATTTTGCAACCTCTAATAAATACATATGTATTGACCATTAGCTGCTAACATCACAGAGAGAGAGAAGCAGACATGTGCCTCCTGATGTGATGCAATGGGAATTACACACCATTACTGTGACGTATTCTCAAAAAATCCACCCTGAATCTGGTCAAATGTCTAGACATAATTACCATTTTCTAGGAAACAGAACCAACTAAAGGGACAGAGTAACATGTTAAATGACACCAGGCATATACAATAAGGAAAATCCAAAATGTGGCTTCTCCAGAACAAATAACCTGGTTTCAGAAATAAAGAAGGGAGGGAAAAATCTAATATTAAAAGAATTACAAGACGAATTCACCAATGTGAAGAACCTTGTTTGGATCTTAATTCAAACAAATCAACTGTAAAACATTTATGAGATAATTGGGAGAATGTGATCAATACTGGAATTAAGGAATTGTTAATAAAGGTTTTTACAACTTTTATTTTTTTTTGCTGGGAAAGATTCACCCTGAGCTAACATCTGTTGCCAATCTTCCTTTTTTTTTTCCTTCCTCCCCAAAGCCCCAGCATGTAGCTGTATATTCTAGTTGTAGGTCCTTCTAGTTCTTCTGTGTAAGCCACCGCCAGGGCATGGCTACTGACAGACAAGTGGTGTGGTTCCACACCTGGGAACTAAACCCAGGCCGCCAAAGCAGAGCACGCCCAACTTTAACCACTAGTCCATCAGGGCTGGCTCAATAATGTTTTTTAAATGTCTTATCTTTTAGAGATATATTAGGGTATTTAAGGATGAAATGATATGTCTCAGATTTGCTTCAAAGTAATCCAGCTCCGGGGATCTGTGGGAAGTAGGGTGGGGTATATGAAATGAGATTAGTCATATGTTAATAAATTATTGAAGCTGATTAAATGGGGGTTCATTATACTATTCTATTTTTGTTTGCATTTTTTAATTTTTGTATGAATGTTCTATAATAAAACAGTTTTAACAGATTATTATAAGCAGATGAAGACAGAATTAATGAAATAGAAAAAGGATCTGAAGAAAATATTCAGAATGTAGCACACTGAAACAGAGATTCAAAAAATGAGTGAGAGGTTAGACATGCAAGTAGAGTGAGAAGGTATAACATATGTCTAATGGAGTCCCCCCAAAAGAAGGGTGAGAGAATAGAGCAGAGGCAATATGTGAAAATACAACAACGTTCAAGAATCTAGGAGCTGGCCTGGTGGCGCAAGTGGTTAGGTGCATG